CACCTGATACCTTTTTATGATCTACAATGTAGCATTAATTATTTTTAATGACAGTAATATGTAATGTACGTGTAATTCAAAGTCAACAACCGATCTGGTCAATGTTTATATTATGCTTATAGGTCGACGAGTGCTCAGCTGGAGGTGAGAGTGGAGCAGAAGAAGATGAAGATGATGCTTCTTCTCATGGTTCTAGAAGCAATAGCAGTAGTAGTAGCATTAGTGGGAGTAGTACGTCTAGTGACAGTGGAGATGAAAGTGGAGAGGAACATGGTTCCAGTGGTAGCGAGAGTCATAGCTCTGGGGAAGATGAAGAAGACGAAAATGAGAATACAGAGTATTCTATCAAAGCGGAGAGTCCAGATACATTGGTAGAAATCATAATTTTTTCATTTAGAGATAAATGTACATAAATTTCATTTATGTAAGAGAGACTTCATTTCTAGAAGTGGGAGACTTGCGTTGTTGCGAATGCCAAAGTGAAACTACCACAAGATCTCTGTGAACATTCTGCAATTTTTAAAGAGTTCTTGGATTATTCTTATATATGGAACGAATGTCTCACAGAAAATCAAAGGGAGACACTCTGCAATCTGCTACCCGTGTTTCCAAAAGATTGTGATACAGAACTAGAAACAGAAAGGACTCTACGAATGCTATTCGATAATGAGAATCAAAGGTAAGTTAAAATAAGCTGCTTAAAATAAATTTTGCGAGCTGAACATCTGAACGTATTTACATTTATTTTAGATTTGGTGTAGCGCCATTAGAAGCGTTTCACAATCACCTGTCTGCCGGGCATTACCGACCGGACATCAAGAGGATATGCAGCCTAGTTCGTAAAGCTCAGCAAAGGCGATTGTTGTTTGAAGAACGGAAACGATCCTACGAGCTCGCCAGTCAGTTACTCAAGTCCAGGGAGAGTTTATTGTCAAACGCGTACAAACAAGGTTTTTGTCAACCGGCCCAGAGGACGATATCGAAAATCCATTGGAGAAAACCGAAGCCTGCTATGGGTAAGTCAGGTTATTGCTGTGAACGATTGTTAAAAATTTTCTGGCTGTTTATACTTCCCCCACACTCCAGCCGTTTGGCAGAGAACTATGTAGTAACTTCCGAGGGACAATACTAACAAGCAATGCACCGACAGTTGAAGAAAAAACGCAACTGCGCTATTTGGAGGAACTGAATGCGCTGAGGACCGAGCTCGGAGTAAGCGCCAAGCTTGCAGCCGACACCACGTCCGAGAATGAGGAGAACTATCCGTACTATCAGCATACTGGGGCCAAGCAGAAAAAGAAGAGGCGTTCTCTCCTGGGTTCGCAGGGTTTCTCTATCAGGGGCTTGCAAATGAACCACGACGACGAGACGATTCGGCCTGTTTTCTCCACGCTGCAACGGGCCGATTTCCCCATGAACAGATCGTTCTTTATCCGGGAACAGACAGAGGAGATGTACCGCGAACTGCTGCTCGAACATAAGAAACGAAGAGCACGTCGCGATGTGCGTAAAATAATTATTTCTTTCCACAATTTGTACTACTTTGATCTAACGATATTGTACGTTTGGTGTTTATTAATTAAAAAATATGATTTCAGATTCATCCAGAATTAAATACTCAGGGTATTGCTCTGGCAGATCTAACTCAAAGAGCACAAATTGGCCAAAAGCACAAACTGTCCATTGGACCATCTATGCGTATCACACCTGCAAAGAAACGAATAAAGTTGGAACAATCGTCCCTTTGCCCGCCCGCGCCAAGATTAATCAATTCGAATTCCATAAAACACGAGAGTGATAACAGTGATTATTCGCATACAACGGACGACAACAGGCATTCTGGGGCGTTGGACATGGATCACAGAATGTTGACGCCGATCAAGACGGAACCTATGGATGGATACGAAGTACATCAAATGGCTAAAAAGAAATTGTACTTTCATTATATTTTATACAACTAATTTGTAGATTTAAAGGTCTTGGTTAGGTACTGAAAATTTAATTTTCGTAGAAGTCCGACTACACCGAAAGGTAGTAAGTCATCTGTAATGTCTACGCCTGAAATCAAGAAAGAAGTAGAGGACATTGAGTACGACGAGATTAAAACAGAGCTAAGCAGCGGAATGAACGAGGATATTCCGCCTGAGGCAGAAGAGGACGAAGAGAATGATAAAAAGGAACTGGATTTAGATAGTATCGACATGATGCAAATACCGATCCAACTCGATGATGGAATCGACATATTAGACGACGTGAAGTATGTGTTTTATTTTTTACGTTTGGCTAGAACGTTACAATTCATACATTCAATTGCAATATTGTTTCAGATGCGAGGACGAAGGCGTTATATCGATACCAGACAAAGAATTGAACGTTTCCACAAACGACGAAACTATTGATATTAACAGCGGAGCAGAATTGATGCAAGAAACGCACGCTTGTTTCTTTTCGCTTCTAAGAGACGCTTTCACCTCGAAAGGCGAGTACAGAATGAGCACCGATGAAATGAAAGATGCTGTGATGCAGTGGCAGGGAAATCCTATTTCTCCGTTGAATGATTGGTTGGTATCATCAATGGACACGCCAGTTCCTACTTAAACATTGCTCTTAACTTCTGATTATTGCTGACGCAGGTATTCAATGGCGTCATCTTGGACTGCATTGGTTCCATTAGTGTTAGGTTTTCTTGCTGGAGAATATACTTACTCCCAAGAATTGGGCGACCGCCAGGAACGAGAACCAGAGCTTGTTCCATATTTAGAAAATAAAGGAAATGGAGTTTACGCGTGGATCGGTGCTGGCCGAGATTCAGATTCGCGTCTTTCGGAGTTGTGTGCGAAATTCTTGATGCACAAGTCAGTTTACAGAAACATTTGTTTTTTTTTCATGATTCCTGAATTATCCTGCGAGCAATGGGTTTAATTAAAATCATTCTTTCAGAGATTCGTTAGGTCCACCGTCGAGTTCTAGTAATGGCCTTGTGGTAGCTGTAAAGCAACAGTCTCAAATATCTCAGCTGACCTGCAATAATATTAACAGTAGTTCCGGGAATGGAAATGCAACCGTAAATGTTAGAGCCAATAGTCCTGCGATAGAATCAGTCAGCGTTGATGGGGGATCCATTAACACTGTCGCTGAATGGGAACCGCCTCGAGCCCTGTGGCCTACGGAATGGAAAGTGCGAGCATCCACGGCGGATGAACGAGAAGAGTTCAGAAGACAAGAGCGTATGCGTTACGCTGCGCCCCATAAATCTTTCACGTATAGAATGCACGGTTACGCATCCGTTGTGGGCCCCGTTAAAGGCATTTATCAACACAATGTCGGTGCGTTCGCCCATAAAACCTAATGAGTTTAAAACTTCACTGTTGGTTCTGGTTTTTAAAGCAATTGTAAAGAATGACATAATGGCATAGTGATCGTTGTTTTAATTTTCTCATAGCTTCAGGGTTGACCAAGGCTCGAGGACATTCATTATTGGTAGCCGACCGTCCGAATTTCGTGACCATTCTGGCATTGGTCAGAGACGCCACTGCTAGACTGCCTAACGGTGAAGGCACTCGAGCCGATATTTGTCAGTTGCTAAAGGATTCGCAATATATCAGAGAGCAAACGGATAGCGACGATAAAGAAGGATACTTGCATTCTGTTGTGTCCGGTGCTTTGGATCGGTTGCACTATGAAACAGATCCGTGTGTACGGTACTATCCACGACGTAAAGAATGGCTGTATCTTCATCGAGCGCGATCCGAATCAGAATTTGGTTTGTATTTACCCGAACCGTCATTGATTGTCATTTTATACTGGTCTCAGTAAAATAAATAGCGTCATATATTTGTAGAAATGTACCATCAACAATTGCAAGGAGTCGCTAAAAATAAGAAGAATGTAGGCAGTATGTCAAGGAATAAAGCGCTGCCTGCTGTCATAAAGCCTTCTAATATCAATAAGGAGCAATCTCCAAGCAACAACAAAGAGTCTACACCTAAAAAGGAAAGAAAAACCACAACTACCGCACAGCCAGTTATATCCAGGTGAGTTTTATAGTTCCTCTTTTTCAAATCAAAAATTTAGAACAGCAAAGAACATTCTTAAGTGGTATCATTGTTACAGGAAAGAACAAAAGAAAATCGAAGAAAAAGTGGCCAGTGACCACTCCGTTTCAACCGAACAAGCTGTCGCTACAAATGTAACGACGACAATGAGCGCTACCACTCCAGCCGTTATCAGTGCTACAGGACCGCCAGTTCCTGTTACGACTCTTCCCAGTTCTTCTGCTTCGATGAGCACTGTTACCGTGGAAAAAGAAATTACACCTAACGAAGTGAAACCATTGATTACCACGACAGCTCCGGCAAAGAAAGTGGCCAACATTGGAGGAAAACCGGTGGCTGTTGTCAAGACAAGCGCTCAGAGTTTACTGCAGTCGAATCAGCAACATTTCCCTCATCACCAGATTCAAGTGTCCACTTCTGCAGGTCTGCAGACCATTCGACTATCCGGACACTCTGTATTGCACTCTGCCCAATCGGTTGCAGCCAGTACCGCCTCTAGCAATCCAACCAACGTGAACACCAATTTGACAACTATATTCCCTTCTGCTAAAGTACAAAGTCAACAACAACAACAGCAGCAGCAACAGTCACAGCAACAACAACAAGCGCAAACTATAGTAACAAGCCAAGGTGGAAAGAGCATTTTACAGACTGCTAACATAAAGCAACAGCAATCACAGCAACAACATGTATTACCTGGAAAGACTCTATTGGCCTCTCAGATCAAGTTGGTCAGTTCGGGTCAAATAAAATCACTTCTTACGGGTCATGGTCTTCAAGGTCAAACGATATTTATCAAACAATCATCACCATCTGGAAACCAACCACAACAGTTGCAGCAACAACAGTTGAAGGTACGTCAAATTGTGAAAAATGATTCTGTGTTACAATTCTCATCTCACAATCAAAATATTCATCGTATTTCAGCAACAGCAACAACAACAGCAACAACCACAAATTCAACAGCGAGTGGTAACCAACCAACAACAATCGTTACAAACATCTGGCATGCAACGTATAATAGCACAAATCGGTGGTAAGCCGATTGCTGTGCAAATTCAGCAATCGCCGCATCAACAACAGCAACAGCAACAGCAGCAACAACAGAAAATACTGGCCAAAGTGTTGACGAGTTCTGGTGGTGGTCAACTGATCTCCGTGGAGAGTCTTCTCGCTCAGAAAGGTTTAAAATTGGCAACCACTACTAGCCACGCCAATCAACTCAACAGACAGGGGAAGCAAGTTATGACACAATATCAGGTGCGACATTCACTTTCAATTGATGTTTTACTCTTCTTCAGTTCAGCAATGAATGCAACGTACTAAAACAAACGTATATAATCGATTCTAAAATGTTGTTCTTGATGATATTTATTCTTTCTGGCATACATTGAAATATATGTATTTAAGAGATAATCTATTGTAGACCCATAATCTAGAGAAAAGTTACCAAGTTTTTAAGTTCGTTGTATCGTGATTCACTTCTAATACTAATCTCATGGAAACTCCCAGGTTGTCTCGCAAGCGCAAACGTCATCGGGACAATCGAAGATCATCGTGAGTACGCAACAATCCCAGCCTCAGCAAGCTCAAACGGTACGAATGGTTACGGCTCAGCTGGCCGGAAAACCGATCGTCTTAGCCAGCGGTAACAAAAACGTCGGTGTCGGCGTGAACAGCAGCGGCAGCGTGGTACTTGGCAAGCAACAGTCGTCGCAGCAGCAAACGCAACAACAACCGATCATTCTGCCGAGCCAGTTGCTCAACATCAAAACCTTGCACGGTCTGAAGGTGATACCAACGCCGGCGGGTCTGAAAACCACCGGCGCCGCGGTTTATGCACGAGTGATAGCTCCGACAACGATAACGTCGACCCAGTCTACGGGCAATCAACAGCAACAGACCATACAGACTCAACAGCAACCGAGGAATAGTCCTTACAATGCACCCTGACAGAATTGATACCGGTTCTTTCTTGTTTTCATTACATGTTCTTTGTTTAGTTTAATCCTGCGGGGTAGTTTTGGAACTTCAAGGTATGCTGGAGCACGATTCCCATGTAAAAAGCAGTATAAACACAGGCAACTTTTCTGCCGTTTCGTGCGTACCGCTTACAATAAAGAAAATAATCTCGGGATCATAATAAGACGACACGCGCGATTAATATAGTAGTAAGCCAGCGAAATAAGTACACACACGGAGTCATTGACCTTCTTTTCTATTAAGTGTTGGATTATTTACAAATGCATGGAACGATTTTTAAATACAAAAACACTTTCCGTTCTCTATCTTACACACGCAAACACACACGCGTACACTCAGTCCCACACACTTTCTCTCTTGTATCAAGAAGATTCTGCGGCGTTGTATGTAACGTATAAATAAATCTTACGTAATTACCGTAGACGATTAAATTATTTTTACAAAGGGTTCTCTCTGCGGTCTACGTTATTACATGAATACCTAGGCAGCGAGGGCCGCCGCGTCTTTGGTCCGTTTCTCGCGAGAATTACCAGTGAACGTCCTAACTGTGAAATATCTATATATGTACAATACTTATCGTTAGAACAAGCGACGCGTATGGAAGTATATACAGCGGGTGAACAAAGTAGTTTGTACACTCAATTTTTTCGCAATAACGTTACACAAAGAAATAGCGCATTAATACAACCTAGCCTTTTTTTCTTTAGTACTCCATTATGTACAAGAAAAAGTATCTCGTTACTTCGGAACTTCACTATAACGGGAAGCTTAACAGACTGTATAGTTCTTATCGATAGTGTTAAAGTGGTTAAAAAAAAACAAAAAAAAAATCTAGGTGATATTGATGTACCATGTTTTACACAAAGTTCTTACGAATAAATTAAGCGTGCAAATACTTTTTATCTATATTTTTCTGTGCATTCGTTAAGCACGTTGTACGACAATAGCTATGTCTGCTCGGAATTTCGTATATCTTGGAATATGTCTATCAGATTATTCACACCTATCAGGTAACCGTCTTCGTGGTTTCCGACCTGCCACTCCGCGTCGTGGCGAATCCGAGGCAGGTGCGGCGGTAGCGGTAACGTTTTCGCGAAGTCGATCATCCAGATACCGGCGTTCTTCGCGTCGTGAACGAACAACAAGCTGGACCCGACGACCTCGTGCGACGCGAAGAACGGCGACGCTTTTAACGTCGCCCTGATCGCCGTCAGCCGCTGAATATACTTGGTCACCGCGTGCGGATAGCCCTCGACGAAACGCCTCAACGCTTCCGTTACCTGCAAATCATAATTGCGTTTCAATTAATCCTCTCGGAACGTAGCCCTGAACGGACACGCGTAGATCGCCGGAATTCGCGGCGTTACTCCGGAGAGACTTGAACAAGACACGTATAGAATTGTATGTAGCTTTATAGATTACATTCCGAATACTTTTGATCTCTTATGCGCAGCGAAATAAACGATTTCACTTTCTACTTTACTGTATGCAACGAGAGCTCTGATATAAATGAAATTTTAATGGATAGGATTGTCGATGGAATTGATATCAAGAGACGGAATAACGTGACTATAGAAACAAAAAAAATAATAAATATTTTTCGTCAATTTAATGCACTGTGAAAGGATTGGATCTACTTGTTCAATGTCAACAGTGTAACTGGCCAAGAGGGGAGACGGCGAAAAAATTTGGTATGGACTTTCTCTCTTTCTCTCTCTCCCCCTGTGAGTATCGGGGACCGAATACTTTTTCTTGTTTCATATCTCAAGTGTAACCTCATTTGTTCGTAATTTACAGACGACCGAGTCAATTAGCCAGGCAATTAACAAACCTGTTCCCGAGTCCTGGTTGTTTTAAAGTCCTTGGACGAGCTGCCGTGCGCAAGCTTAATGCCTTCTACGCGAAAGCCAAGCGTCGCCGTGCTAGATATAGTTTCACGCCAGACCATGTACCTCGGTTTAGTGACACCCTGCACGCGACGTTCCTCTGCGCTCGGTGCGGTCGGATCCACTTGCACCATCTTCTCATACATGTCTTTCCTTAACTGAGGATAAACTCTTATTAGGATACATCTGGTAAAGCCCTTATCTATCTATCTTAACACTTTGACCGCCGCACTGCTCCATACATGGTTAACACCTTTTAATTCTAGTTTATAATGTTCAAATTTCGCTCAAAACAGACGGTTGTAACCAATGTGACCCGTTCAAAACAGCAACACTAAGGGACCATGACACTTTAGCTGCCATTATTTATATAAACTTAAACATAATTTTCTTGGTGACGTAACGAACGAACCGAATTCTGTTATGTATGAGATACTGGAAAGATAGTAGATAGTTATGAAGAATATTGACCTTTTAGTTTCAGCTTTATTAAGAATTGCTTCGATTGCGTAGGAGTTTCGATGAGCGTAAAAGACTTAACCCTTTGCGGACGAAGATTTTTCGAAACATGCAAAACCTTCAACATATGAAGCCAAATTATATATCAATTGCTTAATTAATAAAAAGAAAAAAACTACGTGCTGATCTCTTACTGTTCGACTAATTAGATCATTTTTCCACGACTTAGGCTTCCAAATCTGAACATTTCATCTCACCGAAATGCCGACATTCGTCTGCAAAGGGTTAATAGAAAATTTTGACAAGTTCTTGAAGGATAAACTACTAGAAAAACAGTATAATAGTACATACAGTCGCTAACAACGAAGATGTTGATGCGACTTAAAAATATATATAAAGAAAAATGTTAACTAAATTTGTATGGGTGCTGGGTTAGCGATCATTGCGTTAATTCTTAAACTATTTCGTCCCATTCGGCTGTGATGCCTGTACCTTAGGCCTCTCCTTTGCTTTCGCAAGCTCAGATTCCAGATACGTCCTAACACCGACCTTGCAGTCCATCACGCAGGGATGTTCAAAGTCACCGAGAAGATCTTGAAGTTGCAAATACGCGGACATCACTGTCCTCTTATTGACGCCGTCTTTCTGAACAGTCTCCCCTGTTTCAGTCTCATCGGTGTTTCCTTCCTCCGTCTCCTTCAAGTCCAGAACACCCTTGAACTCCGGCACGTACGGCCTTAACACGTCGTTCATCAACAACCGGAAACAGGCCTCCTCCTGGGGACAGAGTTTCTTCAAAATCGTCCCAGGCGTGGGCCCCGCTCGGAAGTTCCCCTGGTGTCCTGTTAACTGAACCTGAACAACGCAAAGAAACAGTTCAATTAAATGTCTTCGAGAATCAACTAGGTAACCTTGTTACATTAACACTAGAACTATCGAGCATTTGATACGTAATGTAATCGCTACGAATGTTGTAGTAATAGATTACTTTCGGTTTCCTCAGACATTCGTTGTAGTATTCAAGTGAAACTATTTTCAAAATCGTTTCGAATATTCAATGCTTTGAAGATATCAATAATTGCGAAACGGAAAAACTGAAAACTCATTTTGACTGGTACGGTAGTTCTAGTGTTAACCCTTAGTATCTAGGCTGTTTTGTAATCTATCAGCGACTGCAACTAATTTTTATAGTATTCCTAGCGAAAATAATGCTATAACATTCCTTCGATCATTTATTTTCTTAGTACAAAATTTAGATGTATGGAAAGTCTAATAGTTTTAGGGTAGTTTCTTTAAGATTCATTAAAATATTTAACATTACAACTGGTGCAATATTGGAGCCTACAGAGTTCAAAGGGTTAAATTGTTAATTAAACCAGTAAATGACTTCTGTTCTTTTCTAAAATGGAACAACTACGATAACCGATTCTACCTAATAAGATATTTGTCTCTAGAAAGAGGGGACATTGGAATAAGAAAATAATCATGCTCACCCACGGATACCTCTGTTTTTTGTACGTTTGAAAGAACGGTGTCCAGTGCACGATATTCCTAAGCTTCCTCCACCCGGACGACTGAAATCAAACAGAGAGCCAATATTATTAGAGGATAACCCGCCTTCGTCTATCAAGTTCTCTTGACCAACCGGGAACCCGATACTCGAACGATCCTTGCCGTTGAAACCGTAAGGGGATCACTTACGCGAGACAAGAATCATTCGAGCGGAGATCGAATTTTCTCCGTGATTGCTGAAAGGATCGAAGGTATTAAACAGTCGTTTATTATTGTCTAACAATTCGTTACGAGACACGTCCCCGTTACCTTGGCGATCGTTCGTTCATTGGACCGTTCGGTGTGATCGGAGTCCCACTCCGAGCTCAAATCGTCACCGCTACCCTCTCCCCATTCCAAGTTCGTTTGCGGTACCACCAGTAGCCGAAGGTACTGCTGATACCCGGAACACTTGATCAGGCATGCCTCGTCTTTGTTGTTCCGCCCCCTGACGCATTTCTCGCATCTATGCCTACTCTTGCAGGGCTCGGTCTCGCTCTCCGAGGACTTGACGTTCTCCACGATCACTTTCGGGCACGGTTTGCCTCCCTCCCGATCCTCGCCGGCCGAGAAGCCATTTTGCAACCTGTCCAACGTGGATTCCTGACCTTCGATCTCAACGTTCGATTCCACCAGGTGACTCCCTTGACCCGGCCCGAGGTCGGGCTTACCGTTGCCGCCGTTGTCGTTAATCTTCTCCCGCGACTCCTCGTCCTGACCCTGCGCCTGTGTCCGCCGAAAAGACGGCGACGGACTCCTGGAGGAGGACGACGAGCGGCGGTCGATGATCGACGTCGAGAACCGCCTGGAGAGCCTCCTGCTCCGTGACCTGATCATCTTCCTCTGATTCAACAACGACCTCTTGTCGCACTCCTCCGCGTCCACGCAATCGTCCAACACTGATTTAGAGCACACCACTATCTTCGGCACCTCGATCCTATCGTAAGACTTCTGCATCTTCAGCCGCGACGATCCAACGAGGAATCCTGTTTCCCTCGGTTCGCGAGAAGGATCCAACGAGAATCAGCCAACGGTGAACTCCGATCGTCGCGACCCGTCGAAACGTCTATTCACTGCGACGATCCTTCGTATCATTCTTCATCGCCTATCCTCAGACTTAGCGCCTCTAAACGTACGAACGGTGAACTCCGCGTACTTTCAACGTCTACCATTAACTGAACTGATTACTCGAATCCTCCGGTAACACTTCCTAAGATCACCAGCAGCTCCCCTTACAGTTTCAGCCCGCGCATCGCCGAGAGACCGCTGACGATTGCTGTCCGCTCTTCCTAAGCGACCCGAGTCCGAGCGAACAGGTGTCGGCCGCGTCCCACTTTTGCTGGTGTGCGTCCTGGACCGGATGTCGGCGGACGTCAATGGAAATTGTCGAAGTGCGTCGACTTTCACGCTCCTCCGTCGTTTCCCGTTCGAGCCACGCTCGCGGTCATCCGTCTGATTCGCGTCTAATTCTGGCGTTGCTCGGTCCGCGAGCCGCGCGACGTCTCGATCGACGGAGATAATCTGGACGTAACGCGGGGATCGCGCGACGGGTCACTCGTTATCGGCGACAGCGGCGGCGGCGATCACTTTCTTCGTCAACCAGCCTCGATCCTCGGCCTCGCGGCTGGCGCATTCATTTTCTCCGATCCTCCCCCCGACTTCGCGCTCGGAATCCGACGAGATCGGCTCGACCGGGCGTCGAGCCTCGTAATTACTCGGATCGCGAGGTGCGCGCGAATCGGGACACCTGAATCGACTGGACACGTCCACCCACGCCCCGGCCTCTTCCTCGGGCCCCACGCGACCGTGGAAAGCGAGCCGCCGTGTGCCACTTTTTATTCGGCCGGCCGCGCTCCTCCGCCTCTCGGGACCGCGACACTCGAGCGGACTCGCGTTACGCGAAATTCTGTCGGCTCTGCAGTCCCCGCGGCTTCCTCCGGATTCGAATTCTAGCGTGCCTCGCTCGATATCACCGCGATCCTCTTCGTCTTCGACGCTTCCGCTTCCGAGCAGCCTCGGTTTTTTCCCCTTGCAACTTTACCCTACTTCTCCGTTCGCCCGTTCGCGGCGGACGGTTCCTCAGCAGTCGTCGCGCGTCGCGTTCGATCCTCACGATCCGGCACGACCGCGCTCCGAAACCCGTCGATCGATCTACCGGGTGATCAACTGGCGCCAGCCCAGCCCGCGCGAGGTAAACACGCGTTGTGTCTCTTATACCTCGACACTCGCAGTTTTTTCCGTTTTTATTGCACAGCGAAACGGTTGCGCGAAGGTGAGCACCGCTCCAATAGCCTCGTGACGCAAGAGTCGCGCCGGCGACTCGGTCCAGCGTCTTCGCGATGAATCTTCAATGGTAATTCCGAGATACTCCGACCGGTCTCTCGATCGTGCGGAACACTTTTCAGATCGCAGCGGAGAAGCCAGTCGTCGGAACTGGACGAAAGCGGAGGCCAGAGATTAATAACCCCAGAAATCACAGGGCGATCGGAATTATCGACGCCTCGTCGCCTTCCTCCGTGCGCAGCTTGTACATCCGGGAGCGTACGCAGAAGCTCATCCGCAATTAGTCGCGTTCCACGTGACTCTCGTCGGCAGAGGATCGGACTCCGCCGTCGGTTTTCCAGGAAAGAACTCTCCTTGTCCGAGAAGATCGCGATCCTTGCGATACTCTCTCTCTCTCTCTTCGAAACCGCCGCGGTATCAACGCCAGCGACCGGACTGACTCGCTTGTTTATCGGCGGACATTTCGAATAACTGGCGCTTTGTCCTCCCGGACGCGGGTTACATAATTTGTGACGCTTTCGCGGCACGCATCTATTTACATTTAAATGGTTTACGTCAATCGGCGCCGATCGAGCCGCGAACTCCGCGGAACGGATCCCGCATGCCACGCGGCGGCGAGGTCCGCCGGTAGTTCGGGCTCGGTCGGCCGCGACGATCGGTCCCCGGAATGTATAACCCTCGCACCGAACGCTACCGGTTCGAGTGTCGCGGCGTAGAATTCCGCTTCGACGGAATGTCACTGAGAGGAATCCCTTTTCGACGGAATATTCGCGACCGTCGCTATCTCTCCGCCGACCGTTTATCTGACTCCGGCGAGGACTTCCGGTCGTGGTAGGTTTATCAGTGATTTCTCGGCACTTCTGATTTTTTTGTTGATCCTGTCGCTGTCCGTCGGGGAACCCTCCAATTCGAGGCTGATCCCGCGTATTCGAAACGTGTTCCGCCGGGCGAACAGCGGAACGAGAACTTGGCCGAATAACCGGTCGCCGAGGCTTTTGTATCACCTCGCGCGGGACACTGTTCGTGAATCCGATCGGTACGGTTCTCGCCAGTTCCGTGTATTATGAAGCAGTTTTATTTCCGAACTCGCAGGAATTCGTTTTCGTCGCATGCTTTTATTAGCATGCCATTCCGGCTATTGTGTCGAGTTGATTTTATACGGATTATCGTTGAAAATGCTTTCGATATTTACCTCGCGTGATGTGTCCACGTGTAACCGATTGTTTCGCGAATTATCTCGCTTCCGAATTGACGAATTTGCATTATTCTTAGTAGCTCGCCGGCGGCGAAGCCATTGCACGCGAACGCATTGACTTTCAACCGATACGAACAATTGCGGAATATTCAAATTTATTGAAATTCACTGGGAAAATTCGATTCGAGAACTCGGACACGTGTCCGGCAAGGTGAAGGTTAATACGCTGTCCGCCGAGTCATCGGCGTAATTAGTCGAAGTATCCGATGCATCATTTGCGACACCAACCGATGAACCTCGAGATGAACACAGAAATGCAGCAAGGCTCGTTGTAAAATTGGATCATTCAATTACTCGGTGGTTCTAATCGTCTCGCAACAGATTGCAACCCTAAGATACACCGCGATCGAAGATGTAGCTAGTTGAGAACACCGAAAACCATGAGGCATCTCCTAATCCATGTATCACCCTTTCAGGCGACAACGAAAGGCAGCCCGAAAACCGTCAGATTTCATCGGATATGTACCGAGCAAGTTCACCGAACGAAAGAGGAGCTGCTCAAGCGAGCCTCGACGAACGTGGACTCCTGGTAGCTATTGTTCGCTTCAATAACAACGGCAGTTCCGTTTGCGCAGACAGAACACGCGATCTCGTTCAGCGAACGGTTGGAAATTTAGTGGTCGAGGCGACGCACAGTGCGGCCGCCTGTGGACAAAACTCCGAAAAACTACTCACATAACGAAAACTCAAGGTCACCGATGTCCTGCTGGACGAAGTGACTTTCACGTCACAAACAGCCATTTCGTGCAAAGAAATCCCGTCTGTTCATAGAACGTTTGAATCGAAACGCAGAACATCCATTGTCGTTAACACTAGATTTACGGATAATAATCTACACTTTATTCTATCGTACCTAGAAAACTACACGGTTGTTCCTATAGTTCGCGGAAATTCGAGTTTCAACAATAGAGAATTATAATGTGTTGCATAATTGCACCGATCGAAATCGACTTAAACCGACACTAAATAATGTTTAACCCTTTGCGAATGTCGACACTTCGACGAGATGAAGTTTTCATATTTGGAAGACTAAGTCGTTGATAAATGATTTAATTACTCGAATAGAAAGAGATCAGCACATTTCTATTGCGCAAGTAATTATATAATTTAGCTTCATCTGTTGAAGTTTTGTACATTTCAGAGAATCTTCGTCCGCAAAGGGTTAAAACACTAAATAATGTTTAATCCTTTGCGGACGAATGTCGACATTTCGATGAGATGAAGTTTTCATATTCGTAAGACTAAGTCGTTGATAAATGATTTAATTACTCGAATAGAAAAAGATCAGCACATTTCTATTGCGCAAGTAATTATATAATTTAGCTTCATCTGTTGAAGTTTTGTATATTTCAGAGAATCTTCGCCCGCGAAGGGTTAAAACATTCGATATCCGTCGAATTCTAGAGTTCCGTAAATCTAGCGTTAAGAAAACTTCATAATATCCCTGTAAGGTAGCAAAAAAACATAACCACCGAATGTTTACTATACTCTACAACTTTCGTCATCATTCGTTTCTATCGCTCATAATTCTCAAGTTTATCGCGTTTCGTCCAGAAAACGGCCGTTCGGCCGCACGCGCGGCGGTCCACGGTGAAAAACCGCAGCGGCGAGATCCAGCGAATTTCGTCGGCCGACGAGAGAGACTGTCTCGATCCGCAGCCTGAGCCGAGCCGTGCAGAGCCGGCCGACGCGGCGCGGTGATCGAAATGCGTCATCGGCTAATTAACCAGCGTCCGCGGCCGTCATTAGCGGAATTATCGGGAGTGGACGAAACGGGCCGGGGCGAACGTCACCGACGCGCGGAAATTGTTATTTATCGTTCGCCGCGCATATTGCCGCCGCGTCTTTATCGCGGCCCGAAGATACCGGGCCGAGAATAATGTGCGCGCAGGCTGAAATCGCGGAAAGGGGAAGAATTGTACGCTGAATGGCGACGAGGAGGGAAGGATTGAATGGAGAAAGAAAGGCTAGAGATGCGTGACGAAGTTCCCTGGTGGCATTGCGAACGGTTGCATCACGCGTAGCGATTAGACTGCGGATCTTTGCGTAAATTCGCGGCTTTATCGAACCGCTCGACGATAGACGCGTGTCGCTTTATTCTCGCTGGTAAACATCTTGCACTAAAAATGTGGGCATCTTGCGAAACACCGAGGTTTACTCTTCGCTTCGAATACTATAGGAGCTTATGAATCGAAGTTGACTCGTACATCTGGAGAGCTGTTAGGAAAAAATAGGCAGCTATGTACGTAGCCTCGTCCCGCGGAATTCCTTCGGGGTTTCCCGCTCGAGCATCAGAAGTCCCCGTTCGAGCGGAACATTCGCCGTATTTGGTCGCGCGAATGTCTTCGTAAACAGTCCTCTTCGCGCGACTGCGAGCTGTTAGATTAGATCTCGGTTACCGATGACTCGAACCTTTCGACGCGTTCCCCCGCTCGGATTCTAGAATATCCGAGCTGTAAGTAAAAGGTCAGCCGAAGATTGTAACGTCAGGTGAGCGAGCCAGCCGAGCCCCCCGGGAGAGCAATCAACGACCCGAAAAGGCGATTCAATTATTACGTCGACTAACACGGAGAACAATTTCGCAGGTGCGCGGGGCATTCGCGAGTCGATGGCGTAATTGGCGCGGATTGTCTCGATTCCTGCTGGGAAAACAGCTGCTTGGCATTGCGGGATGATGATTTTATCGTGAACGGCGCGTGAGTTAGTAGTACATTCGCTCGTCTTTCATTTATTCTGTATTCACCTGATACCACTTATCTTCTTGTCGTCTTTTAGCTTTGCCTCGCATCGGATAAAACTACGAGCACGTGAAGTGGCAGTTCGGGTACCATCGGGATTGAAGGAACCCTTCGAAATTCTTCTTGGCCCAACTACTACGTTCAACATTGGAAAAAAGAGAATTTTACACCGAACTCATTTTACATTGGAAAAGTAATCACCCGAAGATCAAACGGCCGAAGTGAGTAACGCCTGGTACAAAAAGATACGTAAACACTAACATCTGTAAACATTACACGTACTTCCTCTCGAATGCCTTTACAACTACATCACCGAATTCTCGCATTGAAGGTTGACACGCGTCTTCATCAGCATCGAACGAATTCGCCGGGGGAAACGGAGAAAGTCCAAGAGATCATCGATTTCGTTCGCAACGTTCGATTCGAGTTTACCGGACATCGTCGATAGATCTTCCGCGAGATTCCTCGACGCTGTGAAAATCGTGCAGACATCCCAGGCATCCGGTGTAGCACGCGTCGGCCAGCCGACAGTCGATCCGTCCCTGATCGTCAATCCTCATTCAACCGTCCGGCAGCTCGTAAAAGCCGCACACGCGCGCGGATTCACGGTCGTTTCGCCGTTTCGAGCGGATCTCCCACACGCGCGGCCTTTTACGCGGCGATTAAAAACGAAAACGAGCGCGAATGGCTTTAAGCCGGCCGTTTAATCGTTCAATTTCACGCGCGCGACGATAATCGCGTGCGATACCGCGGATAGCGCGTCAGGCGGCGCGCGGCTTATCGCGCGGAACAGCCGGTAGATCGGCCGCGCCTCGCCGAACGATGTTTATGGAAATTTAATGGCGCCTCGTAAATTTGTAACGCGTTATCGGGGTTAAGTGTTCCCTCGGCTTTCTCTGTCGATGCTCGCGAATTACCCCTTCGCCTTGTCGCGTCGAGTCAGAGTCCTCGTTCGAGATTTCGAAATGAATCGGGTGCAATGGGAACGCTTCTTTTCCAGTTGAAGTCGGGTACGCTTTTCTTGTTACCGTTTATTCTCGGTATTCGGCTCGCGTGCCGCACGTCGGTTTATAACGAACGTAGAATTTCTGGTTTTTTGGGGAATCGATAGCGACGAAGTAGGTTTCGCGAGCGTGATCGGCGAAGGAGTTATAGAGGATTGATCCGTTCAGTTGCTTTATACGAATTTACGCGAAGCGACCGTGGTATTTGGTAATTCCGTTGGGAAGTAGCGTGCAAGCGATCGGTTTTTTTCGAATTGTCGAGGGAATCCGTGAGAAGTTCGCGTGGCGGATCGCTGGAAAAGGACGACGAGGCACGGAGGGGAAGAGGGCAGGCTCGATCGAGACGAGAACCCTTGACCCAGATGCCATCCGACAAACAAAATATTCGATAAATATGCGCCAAGGCTCCGGCGTCGCGGAAACTCGTGGCTCGAGCCGATCGGAACACAACCGAACGCCTCGAACGTGTTGATCCGCGCGAGTGTCCTGAATGATAACACTACGACGAAAAGCTCGAGCTGCGAATATTCGGTTTTGGTAGAGTTTCCAGTCTGTAATAGGAACCTGGAGGAAAAACTATCACTCTCGGTTTTTGAGAAATTTAATTGCGAAACGAACATGTCGAACGTTCAATGTCCAATGTTTAAAATTCGAATTTCAAATGATAAACTTCCACTGGAAATTTGAGTGTCAAATTTCGAATTCTAAATTTCAAATTCCAACCTGGAGCGCCATTTCACGTTCTCAATTGAAACCTCCGTTCGTATTCCGTTCATTTCCGAGGTTCATAGACGCATAGGGAACAAACAATTCCAATGAATACCAAAACACGAAAATCATCATCTAAACGAGTTGGAAACACGTCAGCCGACCAGCCGAAACTGCGCAGGACTATAAAAAGACAAATCCTCGAAAGCGGCGCGACAAGTGTACTTGGTCTGGGCGTGTCCGAGGATAAAACGGTCCTTCGTTAAGGCTGCGCCGCGCGCGCCATTTTCCAGTTCTGCAGAGAGACCGGGGATTCCCGGTCGCGGATCGGCATTCCGCGTCTAAAGAAAACTAGAACGGCGCGAGTTAATTGGACCGAGCCCGGCTGATTAGCCGGTGGGATTGAAACGAGAAGGGAGAACACGA